GCTTGCACTTTGCTCTACAGCTACAAGCAGCTCAGGGGGAATGACTTTATCACACGTCCATACATTGCTCAGAGGCTCATCTGCTTTCCCTTGCTTTTTGAAACCAGAGTGCTAAATAAGAGCCACTTGAAGATGTGTTTCCAGCTCCTCTCCCCACCTCAGCAAATCCTGTGTAGCACCACAAATGCCACAGCTCATGTTCTACAGCATCTTTTAGGCAGTCCATCTCCCAAAGTACTATTCTGTGTAGAGAAGTGCTTTTAGGAGGAAGAGTCACAAAAAGAAAACTCACAAGAGGAAAAGTCTCCACCAATATTACTTTCCGCCTTTGCTAATGGAAGGCACACCCACTTCCTTTGACTCTAATCAGAGAAGGACTGGCTGTCAGGTGGTAGGAATACACAGTTGAGGAACAAGAGGTCTTTATAGTTAGGTGCCTAGCCCTGCCTTGTATACCATCTGCTTCTAATGGAAACTTAAGACTTGCCAAAAAGAGAGGCTGAGTATGTGTTTTCAATATTTAATGCTCACTGGAAATGACAGTTCAGCATTACCTGCTGTCCCAGTGAGATCAAGCTAAACTCCACCCACAGTACTGCGTGTTCACATGCAATTGCAGAAATAAACAGTAAGTATGGAGGACTTAGAGGCAAACTCTTGAACTAGAGTGTGACCTAATTTCAACATAGGGGCATTATATTTTTTTTCCCTAAAGACTGACACTCACTTGAATTCTTTTGGTGTTAACTCTTACATGTTAAGAAAAAAATTATGTCAAGTAGTAACCATCAAAATAAGTGAATAATAGGATCAGATTGCTTAGAAACTCTCCACTATGCAGGGGCAGGTTCCCATTCAGTTTTGTGCCACGCTCTACTACAAATTACTCCAGGGAGAGCCAGTTTACTTTGTCAGAGTTCTCAGCTGACTTTTCTGTTTTCTTTCCCTCATGAGGGAATAGGAGCAGAGGCCACCATCCACTTCAAAAATGCACTAAGGTAAGATTTGGAGACCCTAAATTTAAGACCATCAGTTCTCTCTGAAGCAAATGATGTCAGGCAGGTACCTAAGTTTGGATGACTAAATTTAGAAGGTATGAGTACTGCTTTCCCCTTCTCTTTTCCTTTTTATTTTCTCTGATGTGCTAGTCCTTTTTTTCTCAGCAGTTAAAAGAGACATGTCCAGCTGCTCATCCCCTCTTGCACTTTGTAGAGTCCAGGTTCTCTCAAACTAGGGGGAGAAGGGAACATCAATATTCACAAAACCGTTATTTTTCCCCTAAAACCACAACAGATGTCTCACTTTTAAGCTATTCGCTGCAACTGAAGAGTGAAAATACAGGTGATTCTTGTATGTGTTGTGCAGACACAGCCTGTGAGGCTCATCTCACACATGTACCATGCTCCTTGTAATCCTCCCTGCATCTTCCTTTAAAAGAAAGGGTAGATCTAAATTTCCAGCCCTGGGTTTAGACAGCAGCACAGCCCTGTCAGTTATGCTGCTCTAGACTGACTAAGGAACTTTTTTGTTTTGATAATTTTCAATTAAATAAATCAGGCTCTCTTCTGCTTGCTTTAGTGTAGAATTTTGCATTACCATATCTAGCTTGATTTGCAAACTTTACACATATTCAAGCTAGTATCTTCAAAAACCTGAACGTGTATGGATTACATTATGTCTTCCCTACTTTCCTGAAATGGTGAATGTCAAATGAACCGCTCCTTACTCCTCTTTTTATCTCCAAAATCCAAGGAAAATCACTAAGCATGGTCAATGGGCAAAAATAACCAAATGGCAGCAATGAAGGCCTCTGCATTAGGAAATTCAGTATTACAGTGTGCAGTGCCTACCCTGAGAGTATTTACCAGACTGAACTGAACTTTGGTGTGAAAATAGACACGAAAGTCTTTCCATCAGCCTCTTTGGCCAGCATAGACTGCTTTGAATGATGTCGAGAAAATGTGTATGTGCTTGTTCTCTTCCTGAGATTATTTCATTACAGCTATGGAAAACTTGGTAAGAAATCCATTCTGTGACGTGTTACACATCCTCCTTTGAGGGCAAACAGCTGTGACAGCATGAAGCAAGCTTTGCTTCAAGCTTTAAACTAAGCCATTCTTCTATTCTTTACTAAATCAATTATATATGTCAGGAAAAAATAATCACCATATAAGTCTGGTTTTATTTATTTATTTATTATTCTTCCTGCCTCAAAATACTATGTCCTATGAACTGAGAACTATGCATAAAAATATTATTGAATCAATAAGAATTACTAGTGACTAGTTTTAAAGTGATATTTATAATCAGTTAGTGACAGAAGCAACTACTATTACTGTTACTGACAGAAGCCTGCTACTATTCAAAGAAACACATCATACTCTAATTGCTCTGCTACAGGTCCATGGCCTGACAGTGCTGGATGCTTCACATGGTTATGGCAATGGACTTCTGAGACTTTATGATCCTTATCATCTAAGGTGCTGATAACCAAGTTTATGCCCCTTTCACAGAGCTGTTCAGAAAAAGGCTTCTGTCCTAAACCCCAGCTCCATGATATCTCTCCAGCCTGCAGCTTAGAAGTCAGTCACTACAATTTAGTGTATCTGAGATAATGCTAAAACCACCGGTGACCCAAAGTCAACTGCTCTCATCTGTTTAACTAACACAGAAGGAAAGACAGTAAGCACAGAAACAAGGCCACAAGGAAACAACGTGTCTGCCAGCATAAGCAAAATGAGAAGGGGCAGAACACCACCAAAAATCAGCTGAGTTAAGAAAGAGTGACATCTTCTAAACAACAGATAGTTGTGACAGAAATTTACTCTAAGATAAAAAATGGTACCTAGATTTGAACACTTCTAAGCAGTTAGGCTGTTACAAAGCATGCTCATAAGAAAACTACATAAATTAACTGAATTTTTAGTACTTGAGTTGTGATTTTTATATACCAGTTAAGGTTCACACTCTTGAAAGATCCTTTTGGGGTGAGTCTATAGCCTCTCTCCTATTCAAAAGTATTTGGTATATATGTATACTTTCTACCTTTTTTTACATGTGTGTTACTCATGTCTAATGGAGATGAAATAATTACAAGCGTAAGTGAAGAATATCCCTTCAGGGTGTTCCCAGCATACTACACAATGTTCTTCTGGCCTCATGGATGGAGAAATGTTGTTTTCATAGGGTAAGGAAAGGAATGAGGGAGCTTACTACACAGCAGTAAAAGAAGAGATGCAAAAATCCTGAAAGCTTGCTTTTTTGAGCTGCTGAGGCAGACAGTAAAAGCAGTTATAGTGAACCCTGATAAAGAGGTCTTTCAGCCTGTGACCTATTCATTCTTATTAGAAGATCATACATTTCCTATGCAGTAGGTGCTGAAGACCAAGCCTAAAAATAACTTAAAAAAAAAAAAATCACACCAGTAAACTGACAGGAAGTGTAAAAACTTTCTAAATGAGAGCCATCAAACCTGATGAAACACCATCACATTTGGTATGATATACATTTGTAATGCTTTCTAGGTGTACTCTGTATGATAGAACTGTTGTGAAGTAATCTTTGTGCCCCAAGGTAAACATGCATGGAACAGGATAATGGCTTGCTCAGTATCTACTAGCTAAAAATAGAAATTTGGTCAACTTCCAAAATCAGAAGTGAATAGATACAAATTCAAGGTTTAAGTTCTGCTCAGAGTATCATACCTATTACTCAGTCTTCTATAGTTTATGTTTTGGTGAGGTCTTGACCCTTCTCTCCATATATATCAAGTAAACTTTTTCCATCATGGTACAAAACCAATGTAACTTCTATCCAGTAATTCTTATAAATTTTGTATCAGACACACTGATCATAATGGGTATTTTTTCCCTACTGCATAGTTAGAAAAATGCATAAGCTGTGACTAAGCATTAAAAGTTATCCTAATTCTAAATAATTGCTTTTACAATTTACACTGAACGTAACTTCCCATTACAATGAAAGTTTGGAGAAGTTAAGCATCTCCTAAATGAAGTCTACTGCACAATGAAGCTTCCATGGCAAAGCTGCATTAACTTCTGTATGTCAGGGGTAATCTACAGATTTACTCTGATTCTCATAAAGGAACTACACAGCAGTGAACTAGTTCAGTGTAGAGTGCCTTTCTGGTTTCCAATTACAGAAGCAAACCAAAGGAATAAAGTTTGGTTTTCTAAATGGAGTGGATGTGTAGGAGCCCTGGTAAGGCTTGCCTCAGCCTTAACTAGTGCTGGCATTTGCTCCAGACTAAGCACTGTCAGTTACAACTTTCTTCTCAAGGCTCTCAAAATACTATGTCCTATGAACTGAGAACTATGCATAAAAATATTATTGAATCAGAAAGAATTACTAGTGACTAGTTTTAAAGTGAAATTTATAATCAGTTAGTGACAGAAGCAACTCCAAACACACGCAGCCTAAATAACACAATTCTTTGAAATGACAATTGAAAGCAAAAAATTTTTAGTTAATATATATTTTGAAAGTCCAAATTAGTAACAACTAGAGTCTGTTTAAAAATAGCTTTTACACAAGTTCAAAGACCACCCCTTTTCTTAGAAGCAGCAAGACAAACAGGCTATGAATCAGACATATTTGTGTACTGTTGTCATCATTCTTAAAGGTTCCTGCTCCACATATGAGGGCAACTGGAAAAAATGTCAGCAGCACTGCTCTTACCATCGGAGGCTCACACGCTTTTTTCCCCCCTCTTTCCCTGATCCCTGTAGACAAACCTTGACTGGAAGTTTCCAAACCAAGAAAAAACAAACCAATCCAAATTCCTTTCTACTGCTTTTAAACACTTTTCAGATGATCCATGTTTTAACTTGTCCTCATACCTTGAACAACTGCAGTTAGTCAGCTTCTTCATGAGACTTCAAAATTTTTATCCATAGGAAGGAAATGAAAAAGCAGAAATGCAAGCACTACAATTCATACTAAATTTTATTTTTCATTTGAAGAAGCTCAAACAACTGAAGGTGTTTTCTTGTTCTCTGTGCAACTATTTCAGTTAGTAGGAAATACTAAGATGATCATGTTATTCTTTGGGGAACAAAGGAGTGAGATTAGTAATGATACTATAATGCTACATTCATTGAATCAGTTGAGTATGATCAACATATGTAAGGTATTTGCTCTTAAATTTTTTGGCCTACCTGGAATAAAAAAATGTAATCTCAACATTATGCAAAAACTGAACATAACAATTTTATTGTAATAATTAAAAGTCTGAGTTTTTGCCACATGGATTTTTATTTTTTTTAAAATAAATTATGGTAGCAAAAATTCCTCTCAAAATTGCAGTAAACCAACCATACATTATCAAAAGATTAATGTGATAAGTAAGCAGCTGGCATTTACTGTAAGTAACAAAATGATGACACTCATTTCCATACCATACATATTTCTTTACTTTAAAATGTGCTTCACACATTTTCTGCTCCAGCTGATACAATCTGTAGTTACTGTACGTACTTACAAAATGCTGAAAATTAAACCTGTGGTTAACCAGTTTGGTTTTAAGACACACAATGTAGCTTAAAGTTGACTGACCATTCAAGTTGTCAGTCCATTCTAAATATTCTTGTTAAACTTTCCAGATCTTCATTTTTGAAATGCAGTTCTTCCAGTAATGTGGTCAGGAACTGTGTGTACATTGGGCTTGTCTGAGTATTCTTGAAAAGCGGAGTTGTTTGTGACAATCTGGAAAAAACCCAAACATATTTCATACAGTAAAGCAAATTTAAGTAGCAGATATTAAAAAGCAAAGCTTGTGAGTTCAAACAACTGTATTGAAGAAAAGCAGTTTATAATGTCACATTTAATTAATTAAAGTATATAATAGACTGTAAATATGATATACAATATGAGCTGTACCAAAATATGATTTTTTATTAGTATGTGGTAAATAATAAAAAACTAATTAGAAAAAATGAGAGTAGTTTGTACGCCTCTAATAATTTGTACATAAATGTTATATAATGTAGACACATGTCAGAATGAACAAAGTGCAGAACAGACAATTACACATATAGAAGGAAGGTCATTATTTCTTTCTTTACCAAAAACTCCTGAACAGTCACACAGTAAAAGTTATAAAGTTCTTCATATGACTAAAATATAAGATATAAAATTCCTCAGTTTGGAAGGAGCTACCACTATGCAGATTATCTACATACAAAATATCTATATGCATATGAGGTGAAATAGTGAGTTGTTTTCATTTGCCCTTTAATTATTTTTATCCTGAAGTCCTTCCTTTTTCTCCTAATTCTATTGCAAAATATTGCAAAGGTAGTAACAGCTGAATCTACTTCCTAAACCCAAATATTAAAAATAAATCTTTAATTAACAAAATCAAGTATTAAAGCTTATACTGAATGTTAAGAAACTTCTTAAGATTACTGACAAGATCACTTAACAAGAACTCCTATCCCAGCAAGTGTTACTTTGTCTCAAATACTGTAGATAAACAGCACCACTGACACCATACACAAGAGAGTTATTTTAGAATACAACTGTGCAATGACGTACTTTTAGTAAGAAATTCAAGGTAGTCTACAGCTTCCTAAAACTTCCCAGCTCAGGAAGTGTTGAAGTGAGTAACAACTGAGATCAATCTCCCTGCAGTCACTAGTATTAAGACCATCTCCAGTTGAAAAAAGCTGCATACGAAGAGATGATTCTTTTAAATTAAGCAAAAAGAGTGATAAAACACAAAGGACCTTGCAAGACATAGTAAATAAGAATCCCTTAATAAAAGAAATAAATTTACCCAAAAAAATTAATGAAAAAAATTATTTTAACTTTTAATGAGTTAAAATTACTTCCCATTTCTTTCTGGGTTCCATTTCAGTATGTATATTTAGCTAATATTAGTTCTAACTACTAACTAACTAACTAGTTCTACCTAACTAACGAATTAGTTGAGCTCGTGATTTTTGGCCTGCGGCCGCTGGGTTCTGTAGAGCCCTTGGCGGAGAAGGGAATAGAGTTGATTCTTTCCCGGCAGGAGGCTCTGGGATTCCTCCCCAGGCAGGGCAGGCGGGAGGGAGGGAGGCTCTGCCAGGGGCTGCTTTATCCGTAGGGAGCACGGCAAGGGCTCATAGGGGATCAGAGCAACCACCACAGCTTGCCTGGAGATGGGGATAGCGGGAGGAAGCCTAAGAAATGCATTTCTACTTGTCTTCAGTTCACCCTTCTCAGAATTATGCAGGTTGTATATGAAAAAAAACTGGTGGCAGAAACAGTCATGACTTCCTGAGTGCTGGTGTGAGGTAGCTGTAGCACTGTAAACCATTCTCCTGGCCATGATGCAGATTTACGTGCATTTTTATCTGAATTTTCTTAGTCCTGCCATGGGCTTAAGAGGATATTAACAAGAACACTGTTTTTCAAAAAGAGCAGAAGGCTTGTGCAGTTTCAAGGAATACTCTAAAACCAAAATATTTATTACCATGAAGCTCACTTTTTTTTTTTTTGGAACTGCAGTTGGTGATATATTTACATAATTTCATGAATTACAGGCATGTCCTAAATGTCCGATGTTGTTTAAGACACAATATTTAAAGAGTAGCTGTTACAGCTTACACCAAAAAAGAAAGAAAAAGGTATTGCTATTTTCAGAGAAGTTGCCAGGCATTAAATATTGAGAAATGGAAGTTAAAAACAAGTTTTAGACATGGATCAATTTTTTTTTTCTTTCCTGAACTTTGTTTTAAAACTAATTAAGCTACAGATTGTCTCTGATAAGCAAGATACTAAATCAACAAGTAATTTCAGAGAGGCAAGTTAACAGCAATCAGTTAAAAGTTGCATCTTGATGGGGCAACATGTTAAACATTTCCGAATACATGCAGAAACACTTTTCTCTTGGAAGACTGTGTCCATTTGACCTTTAAATGATGCTTTAACTTGTCATTTGAAAACCAGTTATCATTGAGTACTTTCCTAGTTTCAGGTGGTTGTTGCAGCAGAAGCAGAAGCTTTTGTCTGGGAAAGGAGCAAGCACAAGTTGCTGGTTTGCAGGAGTGGTAAGTTACATGCTTGAAGTGACACTGGCCCAATGTATATTTGAGGTACTGCACAAGACAGTATTGAGGGACTGCTTAACTAAATTAAACCTTAATTGTATGCAAACAAGCCAGAACAGCATTTGGGATCAGTATCTTCAAGTCACAGAAAATTAAAATGATCTTATCTCTCAAGAAACTATGATGACTAATTCAATTTAATGACACACAGGATTTCAGTTCAAGGATTGTAGAATTTCCTTGAAACTCTGCAGCACCTTCTACAGATGTAGAATATAAACAGGAAATAGGATACTTGGGACCACAATAATAACAATGAGCTAGTGCACCAGTGGAAAGAAATATAAATTTTGCTTTTCTAGTACCTCTTTCACATGTTGCAGCATTAATCTGGAACTATTATGAATACTTTTCTTTAATGAATAAATCAAAAATAAGAAAAGATGAAGGGTTAATTGTTTTTAAAATAACTATCTACTGAAGTACACAAATGTAAATGTTACAGTCCAAAATTAAACACCAATTCTTCAAAGGCTTGCCTTCAGCAAAAATGTTGTAAAAGGAAATGTTCATGCTCAGATCATGGAAAAGTAGTATATCAGACTTGATGAGAGTGTCGTTTCCTGCACACCCACTTACACCATATGGTAAACAGGCATTCGTAACGTTTAAAAAGTGTTGAAAATGTCAAACAGTATCTGATTGATAAAATTTGTATTTGCTGGCTATTCCACATATGTTGTATATTCAAGAAAAAACACAAAACAAAACACTAAAGTGAAATTCATGTGAAGAATAATCAATTATTATCAAGCTACTAAAGGACATCTGGCTACCACAAAATGTTTACATAGTTTCAGTGCTTCAGCTCAAGACCCAAACTTTCTACGGATCAGTTGCCTTACAAAAACATTTGGCAAGTATATTTAGGAGTTATTTCAATCAGTTATTATATCAATTATTTTTAGAAATAAGTTTCATTGGTAGGGTGTAAAACTTGTTCTTATATTTATGCATGCTTTAACAAAGACAGCTGAATACATTCAGAAAAGATAAAACTTTTATGTAGTTAAAAGCATTAACTGGCATTTGCTATCCAGGGGTAAGAATATTTCTTCTAAAAACCCACGCCAGTTATCCAGTACCACCCTTCTCTCAGCCACTGGATCTCAGAGAAAGCTTTCTGGACTTTCTGTTTAGATAAATTCTGTGAATCCCTTTGAAAAAGTTAAAAATTTCCAAAGCCACCATTGTGTTACCAGTCAATTACAGCTCTCTGAAACCAACCCCTGAGAACAGGGTAAAAATACAACCCACATAAGAGTTGGGTTCCTTTTCCACTCCTCAAAATTGGTCACTTAAAATTATACATAAATTGCTGAGAATTTAAGTGCACATAAACTGCCCCAATATCATGGAAAGCACTTTTACACTCATGAAGAAAAGCCATATGCTAATTCTCAAAAGACTAATAATAAGCTTCTCCTAGAAAAACATAAGCATTGCCAGTCTTCCTAATTTTTTTCCTAGTGTTAGAAGCTTGAAAAAGTAAAAGCCGCTGGTTGTGGCAGAAGTCATGGGTCCAAACACAAGTTTTTAAGTCCCTTACCTTGTTTGACATGATTGGAACTTGAACAGGAACAAAAGTATAAGAGAAAATGATGGAACAGGCAAACACTAACTCTTTTTCCCGAGTAAGCTTTGGAAAATAAGTTATCTTTCTGCCAGTTACAGTAATTTAAGCACTATGAACAAGACTCTTAACATAACCACCACAACATAGGGGGTTGGATTTTTTTATTCTCTGTTTCTTTCTACCTTTTGTTTTAGTCACTTAAGACTTAATTTTTTAATATCATCATAACCAGGATGGTTTATAACTATTTTTTTATCAGAATGATGGAGTTGAACTAATGAATAATCACAAAGTTTCCTTAACACTTGTTTCAGAACACAGAAATGAAGCAAGAGGTGGCAGCCCTACAGGCAGCATTTTTCCCACTTCCCCAGCAAAACCACAGACACAGACTACTGTATATGTGCTACAAGGGTGCCAGCAAAGCTCTGATCAACAGACTTGCTCCAGCTATAACCATGCAGATAACCATGCCATTCTGAAGGGCTGGGGTGTTTGGTTTTGTGGAGTTTTTTTTAACATTCCAAATATATTCACACTACTCTTATGTTACAGATTTGATGGGCTTAGCAATGCAATAAAAATGGTACTAATCAGAAATGCCTTTCTTTTAATATAAGCAGTTTTATAGAATACACTTCTAGATTCCATTTTAGTCATGTTCATTTTAACGAAGTCTTCAACACAATTGATTAAACAAAAGCAAATGTTTTGTTTAAGACAACTGGCTAGACTGAGTCAATCCAGCAAGTGTTACACATCTGCAATAAAACTCAGTGAATTGGATGTGCATTGCAGCCCACAGACCATCTGCCTGTACATACAACTGTAGTGCTGCCGTGTACCAATCACTTATAATAGTGCTTCAGCTGATGAGGTGAACTCCCAACACTTGCTGCCTTTATCCATTTCATGAATCCCTACCCAAAGGCACTCAGACATTTGGACAGTGAAAACTGAAACCATCACTGTAATTCTGCATGTTCTTCACAATACACTGGCTGCTTGCTTGATTTGAGGTAGAAGCTCCCACT